ATCTTTTAGAGACAAGCCACTTTTAAAATATTTTTTTCCCTTTTTTAAGTCCTCAGTAAAAGGGAAAGAGCACATACCTTATTCTAAGAGGATGCATAAAACTCATTAAACCTATAGTCTGACAAGATGAAACTCAATATTCCTAGCAGGTCTCCAAGTCGCTTTAGGGGGGAAAAAATAAATGATTTTGTTCAGGCTTAAAACAAAATCATTTTCTCTTGGAATTCCTTACAACTCTCACATGGATGCATATGCTTTCCCAACTTGAAACCCAGGCCATCTACTCACTGTGGCAACATAAGACTGTCGGTCTTCTGTATCAACTCCTGTGCTGAAGTCCATTGAAATAAGCAAATTGTCAGGACATACCAAGGTTGTAGGTTAAGAACTTAAAAAAGACATGTATTATTTAACATAGAATGTGTTTGCCCAGACTGCCAAGTTCAGAGCAAAGCAGAGGGCCAGATCAGCACAGTATAGGATCTGCCCATTCCTTGAATTACCCATTAAAATTTCAAACAGGGCTACTCAGTCTCTTTAGTTTTGGGTGAGACCTTAAAGCATCAAGACCTGTCTGCTTTGCACAGGCATGTCAGGAACCTGCCTTCTCTCTTGTAGGGGGCTGCCTCAAATTCCTTAGTTAATTTTCCTTGTTCCACATTTTTGCCTCATGGACTTTGCCAGCTGGCTGTACCCTAGAAATAGAGGCAGATGCATATCAGTGATAGTATATTGATGGTGATGCTTTGATGAAGGAAGTGCTTTTTCCAGTTTTGCTCATGAGGCAGGGTATTTCTTTCTATGTGTTTCATAGTTATCTATTCAAAGCCTTTTGCAATCGGACTTTTCCAGATGGAGTTTCCAGGCAGGCAGGATGCTGGTATTTTGAATGGCATACATTTCAATATTCTACAGCAAGGTGACAACAGTCTGCCAACAGGCTTATTTGTAACAATACACTTAAAAACCCATGATAAAAGAGCTAAAGTGGAAACCATGCCCCCACCAGGGCATCATAGTAAAACTGCACAACCTCCTTTTCATGAAGAGGCTCCCAAAAATTAACAGTGAAGCCTCAGTACATGAATTGATATAAATGCAGGCAAGACATACTGCAAAACCTGCTTTTTTGTTTAAGTGTTTTAAGCCTATGGGAGAATCTCTCTACAAGCCAGTCCACAAAAAATATCTTGGGGCTAGAATGAAACTTTAAGTACATATTTCTTTCCAGTCTTTTCAAGGGATTTCAACAGGAGGAAGAGAAACATCATCATCAATTTTTATGACCAAAGGGGTCAAGAATATTTAAAGAACAGTACAAGAAAAGGCATGAGAGGGGGAATCAAACTGTTGCCTTATTCCAGGGGCTTGCCTTAAATATATGACAGATGCAATCAAAAATAATTAGGCTGATATTTGCTCCAAGTTACATTTGCCTTTTTAAAATCTCTAGTCTTGCTGAAGACTGTTTAACAGGGTGACATACACTACAGACCTGACCATAAGGCATGTTAGATTGTTTACATTCAGGTGCCAA